TTGAGTTTAATGTAGGCACCACATTCGAAGGGTGATGCTGACAATTTAAAGTGCATCCTGAGAAAGTGAGCAGGGTAGTGGACAATCTGCTGGAAAGCACGTGAAGCAGTTAAAGGATCTTGGGATATTTGGTTTGGAAAAGACACAGCACAGTGGGAGAGATGATGGTGATCTTCTCATATGTGAAGTATTTTCTCAGAAAATAATTTAGTGTTTTTTTTGTATTCATTCCTAAGACTGGTATCCTAGGCAGTTTTCTCCTCTTTTCTAGGAGGTGCTCAAACTGAAGCTGGGTAGGTAGATGGTGCATTCTTTCAAAGCAGAGCCTATCCCCTCCTCCTAACCCAGGCCCTGTTCATACCAGTTGCTCAGGACATATTGTTAAGTCACCATTGGTCAGGTGTGCAGAGGAAACAACTGCTTTGGGTACAAACAATCTGTACTCAATGACCTCTAGAACCTTTTCCAAATTTAAGATGCCAAGATTTTATAGGCTCCACAGTGAATAATTCTGCACCATCCTCTCCCAGCTTTAGATTTTAAGCTTGTCCCATGGCTTCCATCAGCGGTTTTCAAAGTATGGTCCCTGGACCAGCAGGGGCAGCATCTGTATCAGCGTCACCTGAAATTGTGTTAGAAATGCAAACTTTTCAGGCCCCAACCAGGACCAAGTGAATCAGAAACTCTGGGGATAAGAAGGGCAGTGCCCGGCAACCTGTGTTGTAGCAAGGCCTCCAGATGATTTTGAGACCTGCTAAAGTTTGAGAACCACTGGATTAGATATTTCTGCTCAGCTGCCTGGGATGTATATGGGAACTCAATCCCCCTGCATGTTCCCTGAGGACTGAGCCTTGCCTTGTGGGTCCTTGGCGTGTGGCGTATCACCTGCACACGGTGAAAGTTAGGCATTCAGATATTGAAACAGAACCGAACTTATAAAAGGACAATATGAACAGAATTTGATGGAACAGACTCAAGAATTAGTTATCTTCAGCCAAGAGTCCAAATATCCTCAGGAAAAAAAATCTAGTTGCCAATGTCTTCATATGATGTGATGAGACATACATGTGTATATGCATAATCAACATAGTGTATGTGCAACTATATTAAAAATCCATTGATTTCTATCTAAATCACTTAGAAAGAGAGTATTACTCACAAAAATTGGGGATTAAAAGGGCAGTGACAATTTGTATAATAGGCAGCAACATGCTGTAGAATTTTGTAAACAAGATGTACTTAGCAAATTTTTTAACTCCTACTAGCTTTTGTTAACCTCCTATTTTTTTACATACCTTGAAATGAAAAAAAATTCATGTAGTCATTCTTGATTTTAGAAACATCTCAGAAAGAAAGAAAGAATGAGTACATGAACACACAATACGTGATAATTTGCTTACAGTGTATAGTAAGAAAGTCATCAGTCATTTCACATTTTGTTCTGGGGATTATTTTTGGTTGTCCATCCCCCCAGTTTCAAAATTAAATAGTGTTTTATCAGCATCTTTAAAAAAATACCATAAATTTTCATCCATTTTCTTAATAGATGAGAAGTTTGGTTATTTTAGTATTCTAATCATTAGTTAGATATTGGCCCAAATAAACTGGAGGGCATTGGTTACTCTCCCTGCTTATTATATTCTGGAATTGTATTGCTTTAGATGAATCAAGGGTTCATCTGCTCCTTATGAAAAATGCTAAGACAGGGATTTTTCAGAATCAACTTTTTATGAGGTGTTAATGGTCTCCTGAATATTGTATTTAGCTCTTTACATACCATTTCAGTGCAAAAGTGTGATTTAATAATGATCTAGGCTGGGTGTGGTGGCTCACGTCTGTAATCCTAGCACTCTGGAAGGCCAAGGCTGGAGGATTGCTCAAGGTTAGGAGTTCGAAATCAGCCTGAGCAAGAGCGAGACCCTGTCTCTAAAAATAGAAAGAAATTAACTGGCTAACTAAAAATATATAGAAAAAATTAGCCGGGCATGGTGGCACATGCCTGTAGTCCCAGCTACTTGGGAGGCTGAGGCAGGAGGATCGCTTGAACCCAGGAGTTTGAGGTTGCTGTGAGGTAGGCTGATGCCACGCCACTCCAGGCTGGGCAACAGAGTGAGACTCTGTCTCAAAATAATAATACTAATCTGTTTCAATTGATAGATTATGGAAGTGTGTTTGTAGTTCTGAGAAGATTCATGCAGATATAATTTGTATAAATAACCTGAATTTTAAAGGCAGTGGCAGGAGGAGTATGGAGCTCACCGTGTAAAGCTACCCCTTTCCCAAGTCTTTTAGCAGATCAAAGAGCCAGCTCTTAATGTTGTGCTGATTTCAAATCTTTGTATTGTGGTTGTTTATTTTTATTTATTTATTTATTTGAGACAGAGTCTCACTTTGTTGCTCAGGCTAGAGTGAGTGCCGTGGCATCAGCCTAGCTCACAGCAACCTCAAACTCCTGGGCTCAAGCAGTCCTCCTGCCTCAGCCTCCCGAGTAGCTGGAACTACAGGCATGCGCCACCATGCCTGGCTAATTTTTTCTATATATGTATTAGTTGGCCAATTAATTTCTTTCTATTTATAGTAGAGACGGGGTCTTGCTCTTGCTCAGGCTGGTTTCGAACTTCCGACCTTGAGCAATCCGCCCACCTCGGCCTCCCAGAGTGCTGGTATTACAGGCATGAGCCACTGCACCCAGCCTGTATTATGGTTGTTTAAAATGAGGGTACAGTTATATAATATTTTGTGTACTATATGGAATATTCATGGTTAACTTAGGTATATTCAAAAATACGTCCCTATCCAAATGTGTGTATATATATATATACATGCACATGAGTATGTATCTCTAACCCTATCTCTCTATAGCTATCGATTTATCTATCTCGATTGAATATAAATGGGTGCTTTCATCTGCTACTCAGAAAGGACATGTCCTAGCAGATGTTTGAGATGGGTAGATGGGTCCACTCTTCCCTTGGTTGATCTCTGTTCCTTGATGCACCCCATGGCGTGTCTGTTGTGATGCGTACAATTCCAGTGTTGGGGGATGTTATTTTTTGCTATACTTACAAGTGCAATCCCCATCCCCCCCAAAAAAACCCAACAACAACAACACCTCAGAACAAACACAGACCGAAGCAACATAAGCAGGAGGAGGCCTGGGCTTAGGTTTACTTCCCTGGCACCTGCACTTGGTCATTGGGTCATCTTGGTCCTCCAGGCCCCCGTTAGTTGAGAAGGTCAGTCTAATGCCCAGGACACAGGGAGGGTGGCTCTACACTGTGTTCTGGATTTCTGGGAATGGCTTACCTGGGTCACCCTCTCTGAGGGTGAGAGTCTGTAACCACCCAGAGAAGAACAGGGCCTTGAGGAAGGAGGGGTCTTGAAGGGTTTGCAGGCATGGGGTCAGGGGCTCAGGTGGAGGTGCTAGATAGTTCCTTTATTTCTCTCCAGAAGGCACTGGTGAAATGGTCACAGAATGTTCCCATGTGCCAGTGTCTGCACCTCCTCATTCTAGTTCCCCAGGGGGGCAAAACCTTCCTTACATAATAACACTCCTTCCTCCTTACCTTTCTTTCTTCCCAGGACTATGGCTTTTCTGAATTTAAAAAGAGTTTCAAAGGCCTGTAGACATATGCTCTGGAAATATGTCTGAGCAATGGGTAATGTGCCCACATGGCATAATTTTCTGGGAACCACATGGCGAAATGTCCATTGATAAATAGCTTTTTCAAGGCCTCAGAATGAGAGAAATCTTTGGATTTCCAGTTCCTTCCTCTGTTTGCCGGAAAATTGCTTTACATTATATCATCATAAAATGCCCTATTCTGCAGTGACAGATGTGTATAAAATCTGGGCATGGCTTTAAACTTTATTAATATTGGCTGGATACCTATGGATACAATCACTCAATGGCCTATGTATATGCCTATTTATCTACACTGCATTCTTTCAAGAAATAAAGGGCCAGGGACAAAAAAAGTGTCATTTCTGTAATTTCTACACAGTTACTAGAGAATGTCTGCAGTGGATAAGCAGACAAAACATCATTCCACAAAAACTAGAGGTGACTGACATGAATCTTAGAAGTCTGAGTCATATCGACTAAAGCTATCAGTATGCTATACCTTTCTACACTATTTATTATTTGCTGCTGCCATCTGTATATTGCAAATGCTTAAAATTTAAAGGTACACCAATGTTTTTGTAATATTCTGGGTGTCCTTCAGAACAGTGGTTTCCAAATGCCTAGTTTCAAACATAATAGCCTGGGATGAAGTGTTTCTTAGTCAAGGTATTGAATAAGAAATAAGAAAATGTAAGTACATTTGCATAAAGCTAGAGTTATTAAATTTAAATAATTCTTTTCTCTTTATTTGGAGATTTTTTTTTTATAGCCCTACTGGCTAAACTACCATGGTCAGTAAGATCTAAAATTATATAACCACTGGGTAGGAAAATCCACTTTTATTTCTTTGCTTTCATCTGTTCTATAAAAAGAAAAAAAACCAAAACAATTCTTGGGGATGGGGAAGCTCCAATCATTATTCTAACTAATTCAAAAGTTTCTATCCATCCTTTGTTGGGAAGGTGTTGAACACCTGTGTAAGCCAGGCAGTACGACTGTTCTGTTCCTCTGCAGGGGACACTCAAAGATCTACACAAAATATAAACCTGTTGCTAGAGTTGGGCTGAGTCTCTCTTTGTGTCTGGGTCAGAACTTTACAATTTCTGGTCTGAGTCTGCAACCCCAGTCCTGTCCTGGACTCAGCAGTCTTTACGGTCCGAGATGGCAACTGCCGGCTAGAAACATCTAGGACATGCAAGTTTGGAATTTGGTCTGTAGACACTTTTGGCAATGTCCTGTTCTCTCCTAAGCTCCATAATCTCTTGGGTGATAAAAACAAACACAAAAGGTCTCTGTTCTGTAACTGTGAACAAATTCAGTTGGTGAAGCATGCCTTGGCATAAAACATCTGCAGGGGCATGAAAAGGTCACACACCTTTCTGAGGTCACCCGTATCCTCTCGTCATTGGAGGAGTTGAATCGATCATCTTTTTCTCTAAAATATTCTTCTATGCACTGCTCTTCGAAATCATGTACTTTCTTAAGCTCATCATCGGTGATGAAGAGTTCTGCAGAAAAAAAAAAAAAAAGAAGAGCCATGAGGGAGAGAAGTAAAGGCTATGGCATCTGATTTGTGGGCTGCACCACACCTAACACAAATCAAGGTTGGGAAAAGTGGCCTGGATTCCTTACTAAGTTTCAAACGAGATCCAAATCTGATCAGGCAACTTGTATTACTGTCTTCTTTCTGAACGCTAGATTCAGCATGGGTTTCTGAAGTTCACTGGAATATATACCTGGTTTACTGCAAGGGCTGGTTCGAATTAGGCAAGTTGTAAGACCGAGAACATAGCTAAATCAAGGGAAGGGAAGCTACTCAGAGTGTGGAATTTTCTTAAAAGCTCAAAAATGTCTGGGCTGGAGTGTGGCAGACATTGTTGATTGGCCTTACTAAAAACCCTTTTGCAACCCCCTTCTCCTTTTCCCCCTTCCTACTACTGAGCCCTGAAAAGCCAAATACACATTTCCAGTCTCCCTTGGAGCTAGCAGCAACCATGGGACACAGTCTGGGTTAAGAAACAAGAAAAGTCTGCTGCAGGGAGGGGTGGTGTGTTAGGAAGAGTTTTTGCCTTTCTGATAAAATACAGAGATGTGGTTGCTTCTTTTTACATTTTTTCACCTTCCCCTCTTTTTCTTGCTTTGAACATAAATGTGATGACTGGAGGTGCAGCAGTTATTTTGTGACCATGAAACAAGACTGTACAATAAGGAATAGCTAAGCTTTAAAATAGAAGGACTCTAGGTCTTTGACTTCAGTGAGGCATTGCTGAGCTCTGGGCTATCATTTCTTCACTTTTGTTATATGAGAAAAATAAAACCTTATTTATTTGTGTTATTATTAGCCTGGTTTTCTGTTAATAGATGGTAAACTAATTCATAACTGATACAGCAGTAGAAAGAGCCCAGTTGAAAGTTGGATCTTTAAATGGTTTATAAATCAGGGATAGGGTGAGAGAGCTGCTTCACGAAATCATAAATGGGACAGGTCCCTCTTTTAATTCTATACCCTTGAGATGCCATAGGGATTGTCCCAAATGTTTGGAGCTGTGGATTTTAGACCCTCAGGGATTTAGTTTCCTGAGACTGCTCTTGCTTGCTTTGAGACTTTGGTCTGAGTTTGCCTGGGGCATGGAAGACAGGAATGTAAAATCAGGTGAGAGAAAAGAAAATTATAGAAGTCAGACCACTCTTCTCCAATGTGGCAGGCTTCCTGAGGTGGGGAACAGCATTACCACTGGGGACTCTTGAGATTCAGTCATGAAATTACACAGAGCATTAACTTGGAGGGAAGAGAGTGAAGAAAGGCAGTTTATAGAGGCCCCCGAAGCACAGAATCCTTCCTGCTACTGCTATATTTGAGACCAAAAGGAGTATATTTGATACTTACTCTGCTGGCACCTTAATTAGTGCCTCATTTAACTTCTTTGGCTATATGTAATGCTTTTTTTTTTTTTTAAATAATATACTATTTTAAATAACTCCATCAACATGTCAAATTTCGCAATAAAAATTAAATTTTGCATTTCAAAGTGCTTTTATCTGAGGTTCTGCCAGAACTTGGCAGTGCCCTGGCTCTTCTTCCAATTAAGGCTACAGATAGATAGTGAAAAGTTCACTTTCCCCGATTAATTAATACAGCGCAGGGCCCTTGTCTCTGCCTTTCACTCTTTCTGACCCAGCTCCAGCTCTGCAATATTTTCCTGAGAAAGCTGACACTTTGTTCCTGCCTTCCACAGGGCCAGAGATCTGGCAATGCTTTTGTTGTTACTGCTGGTGATAACAACAAGAAAACCTCGAACTAGAACTCTACAGAGCGGGCTCCCCGCTGGCCTGGTGTCTGGTTTGCTCGGGTTCTCGTGCCTTCTGCGAGGGCGTGGGCACCGGTGCAGAAGTGGATCTCTGGACCACCCCACTCTCTGCGATGTATTTCCAGATACTCCCGTCCTAAGCTCTCTGGATAAGTGAGCTAAACGAGTCATGCTTTATTGTAAATTCCTTTGGGGTCTGGAGTTAACCCTCAGCACTGTATCCCCTGCAGGGTGTCATTCAGTGTAGTGTCCCCCTGCCCCGACTAGGCAGCCCATGCTCCTCCACATGGGCCAACCCTCCGAGTTGAGAAGCTCAGGGTTTATCTCAAAGCTCATCCTGCCCCACACCCAAGCTTTCTATTTGCCTCAATTTGTGTTTCATATGGAAACAGTGAATTTTGGAACTTCCAGCTGTCTCCAACTCTCCAATTTTAATGTCTAAAAACAAGCTGGGCATTGCTACGGTGGGGGGTTAAGAGCTGCAAACTTCAAGAAACAGTTGACTAAATGGGTTTGGTTTCAAACGTTAGGTGTACTAGTGATCACATGGAGGGAGGTAGATTCCTGGGCCACCATTTCAGAGGCTTGGTGGATTTAATGTAGGTGGTTTATTTGACATGTTTTGAGAAACTACAGTAGTTTGCTGGTGTGGGGCTGGGTTCCCATTGGTTTCCATTGCTGGTTCCCTAGGGGCATTTAGGAATCTGCAGGAGCTATTGGTATTTAATGTGTGGAAGTTGGATTTGTTAAATCTCCTGCCATGTGTGAGACAATCCTACACAGCGAGGAACTGTTCTACCCCAATGCCAGCAGAACCTCATTTTGGAAACCCTGGGCTAGAAGGTGGATAGTGGAGGGTCTTCTGTTTTGTCCTTTGAATAATGGAAAGCAGGGCTGGTTTCCCCATGAGGCCACACAGGCACAACTCCTAAGGCATGGGAAAATGTTTAAAAGACCTGAAAAAATGATAGATCCAGAAATGATAATGGAAAATCAACTTAGTCACCTACAACTCACGCATGCACAAATGTTTGAGTTATGCATCGGGTATCCCAAAAGGAAAAAGTTTGTAAAACTTTGTAATGAATATTTTGTAAATAAAGGTACATTTAGCTACAATTTCCCATTTTCCCTATGTATGGCAACTTTTGGGACACCCTGTATGGCGCAGCATTGGGTACACATTAATATGGTTGATATATTTTGGGGGCCTCTGAAAAGTAAGACACTTACAACCTATGAAGGTGCTAAAACAGCCCCGCTAGAGACTGGCTTTTATCTTCCTAAGAGAGATGAGGCTAGGAATGCTCGGTTTCAGGCTCTGTTGTCTTTTCCCCAACACTGTTTCTCACGCAGGCAGACCCTGCCACCTCCCAACCCTACATCTTCAGAGCCACGTGCACTCTGCAGGAGGCAGGAGGGACTCGGTGGGCATGTCATCCTCTCCTGCGTGACTGCCTAGAGGAAGGGGTAGGGCTTTCCGATTTGCAGGGGCCGGGCTGTCGCCCGAAGCTTACTCAGGCCGTAGTCCCTTTCGTCGGGGTCGCTCTCGTGTTTCCTCCACCGGCAGCACAGGTGCTGGAAGATCATGGTCATGTGGCTGAAGATGATGAGCGGCGGGGGCAGGACCGGCCTTTCATGGAAGGTCATGATGAGCTGATACCTCTGGAACTTCCACACTTGGTTGGATATCGATTTCACCTCGAAGAACGTGTTGCTGAAGTAGAGACCAGGGAGAGCATCAAGTGAGGACACCCACTGTTTCCTGAAGCATCAACGCCCACCCCTCCCTTTACCCCCAGCCTCTCCATCCGTCCAACCCACTCGCTCCGAAGAAGGGTCCACTCACTTGAAGACGGCGATGAGGAGGTTGACGAGCAGGATGTTAGCCACCAAGAGGTAGCAGGCCATGATGGCGGGCACGATCCACGCTCCTGTCTTGCAGGGGGGCAGCTGGATGATCTTGCCATCCTCTCGGGTCTCATTCTGTCCACAGGGGGCTGCAGGAAGCAACACAGGCACGCAATGAGAAACCGTGGCTAGTCGCTTTGGGGAAAAAAAGAAAAGACCGATTTGAATGAGGGTTTTAGATGGAAGAAAAATACAGCCATCTCCAAACAAACAGAAAAAAAGTTCTAAAGAAGCCAAGATTGAAAAATGAAAGCTTCATGAATATACCTCAAGGGGCCAGAGGGGCCTGGGTTCTGCCTGTCTCTCCATGGTGTCACCCGACTGGAAGAGGTGGTGGGGCTGCCTGCTCACCCGCCCTGTCCCCTGGCCCCTACACTGGGTGAGGGGCGCTCGGTGTCCTTCGGAAGCCTGGTGAGGGCTTTCCTGGCAGCGCCCAAGTGGCAGAGAGGCTCACCACCCCACAAGTTACTTTCAAAATGTGCTGTGGAGGCCGACAGCTGTAAGAGCAGCGCATGGCAGGGCTATTGATTGGGAATTAACACCAGGGCAGCTGTTAATTGCTGCAAGAAACAACCTGGGAGCTCCGAGCTAACGATTTGCTGTCTCAGTGCAGAAGGAACAACACGGGGCAGCGCCTCGGGAAGCATTTAGAGGGCTTGTCGCTCCGTGGGCCTGATGGATGGGATTTCACCAGGAGGGCAATGGGGGGTGATGGAGCGGGACCACGGAGCCTGCAGCCACCCGCTTCCCGCCAGCAGCATTTCCATTCCAGAAATGTGCAAAACCCAACTGCAGTGGATAAAATGGGCAAACGGGGGAAAGAAGTCTGGAGGTGGGGGTGAGGAGCAGGGCGATGTGTGGGACTCGGGGAGCGTGAGTAATGTGCTAATGAGGGCTGCTTGGAGTTTCCGGGTAAATGCAGGGGGAAAAACCCTTGCCAAAGCTTCTCAGCACTGCGCAGACAGTGTGGCCCCAGCAGCCAGGTGTGCCCTGAGGTGCCAAGCGGAGGTGGGGGAGCCACCCTTCTCCAGTCCCCCATGTTGGCTTTAGAACAGGGTCCTTTGTGTCTACCTGTCACAGGAGGTGGTGGGGAGTGGCGAGGAGCGCCAAGAGGTGTCAGCAGTTGTCGCAGGCTGCTTTTGATGATCTGCCAGGAAGGTTTGAAAAGTTGACCCAGAATCTACTCAGCTGGAGTACCTGGCAAGGGGAGTCCATTCCCTGCCCACGAGCTGGGTTTCCGTTGCTAGGCTGCACGCTCCACAGCGGTTCTCAGCCCCGGCTGCCCAGGAGGATCACCTGGGGAGCTTTAAAAAAATCCCAATGCCCAGCTCGGCTCCAGACAAATGAATCAGAGTCTCTGAGGGTGCCCCAGGCACTGGCATTTCTTTTAAAACTTCTCAGGTAATCCTCAGTTGCCATGAAGGTGGAGCCCACTGAGCTAGAGTTAGGCTGGAAAAATTACGTAATTTTTGACATGCATCTGCAGTCTATGAGGGTTTTAATAATACCGGGACACCAAGACCCTGTTTTTATGGCTAGGAAAAGATGGCCAAAGCGCTTCCTTTGGTTCTGACTGCAAGATGACCTGATGTGGGAATCAGGTGTCTTTGAGGAGCAGGGATCTTTTTTATTATTGGTAGTTGTGGCACTAAAACCCAAGGTAGCACTTTAAGAGGTCCTGGTCATTTCCTTCCTTGGAAGGAACACCCAGTGATGGAGGCCCCTGACTCTGAGGGTGGCTGACTCAGTGCCATGTCTTGCCACTTCCCATCTCTTTCTGAGCACAAACCGGACTGAGTTCCTTGCAGTTCCTAGAAATGCCATGTTCTCTCTTACTTCCTGATTTTGAACCATTCTTCTTTTGCTTCCAAAAGACCCCTCTGATACCTTGCTCCCCCCTGCATGTGTTGCCTGAGTAGGTGAATCCTGGCTTTGTGATTTCTAACCCCTTCCAGCCAAGACTGTGGTAGATATCTTCCTTACAATCCCAGAGCACCTCTGCTTGCCCCTTTGGGGGTCTCTCGCACTATATTGCCATTGCTGATCTACTCATCTGCATCCCATACAAGATTCCTCAGTGGGGAAATTGCTCTTCAGGATTTGCCATAACCTGGCTCAGTACGCACACATTGCGCCTCCCCGTGCACCCATACATGGCTAATGTTGAATAGATACAGGAGATTATGGGGACACAGTCTTGCTGTTGAACCCTAACAGACATTTCCCACATCTGCACAGGCATGATAGCCCTAGCTCTGAGGGGTCGTCATCTCCTTCCTTAGGTCCTTTCCAGAAATTCTGCCCTTGGCTCAACCAGACCTCAGGGTCTGTGCTACCCGCTTGGCTGCAGTCCTCCTGGAAGCATTGCTGTGCTTTCCTCTCGTCTGCGAAGCTTCCCCACCAACTCCACCCCTTTCTTTCTGGCCTGACTATCTGGGGGGCTGGTCACTCCTCTGGTCTGCCCTTTCCTCTGGCTTCTGCTCAGATCTCTATGGGGAAGCCAACAGAAGCAGCAGACATAACTGCTCGGGGTAAATTACAAAGCTTATACAATTTCTACAAATGTGGTCCCTGATCTGCATTTCTCGACTCCCTTCTGAGAAAATGTAAAATAAACTTGTGAGAGGCAGAACTCATCCATCTTGCCCTTTCTGATCCCATATTGAGTGACGGCCATGCAGACACTTCCTCCATTTTGGCCCCTATTCCCAGCAGAGAGAGGAAACCAGGAAGAATAGTAGGTGCTTGCTGGTTTCAAGTGGTCCATGCCCACGTGCATGGACTTTCACAGTGTGCTGTCACCATATCGCTGGGTCTCTGCTCAGTTCCTCCAAGGCCCCCACTAGCTGAAGAGTTGGACCAGCTTAATACCTTTATTGAAGATTTGATTTGATGTTGGCAGAATTGCCGCTGGGAACCACCTGCCAATTTTGGGGATATTAATTTATTCCAGCTTTCTCCACCTTTTAGTCATCCTGCCTTTATAAAGGTAGTATTAATTCAGTGGTTAGGAACATGCTTTATAATCAGGCAGACCTGGATTCAAACCCTGACCCTACCATTTTCAAATGATCTGACTTCAGCTTTGTTTGTGAACTTCAGCTTCCTCATCTGTAAAATGGAGTTAGTGATCCTATATACCATGGGCCTGTCAAGTTCATTACATGAGCGAATGCAGGTAGAGCATATAGTTCAGTATCTAGCACCCAGCACTCAATTAGCATTAGCTGATGTCATTGTTAGTATTGTTATTTTCATAATTAATAGACTTGAAGCTTCTCAGGGTTAGGGACTATGTCTTATTCCCCTTTGTTTTGGAGTCACTAAGCATAGCACTTATTCTACAAACATTTATTGAGTGGTTACAATATGTTGAGTACAGGGCATATTGGGAATCCGAGACGTGTCCTTTTGTTAAGGAACTCACAATTCAGGAGTGGGGACAGAAAGGGAACAGAACATTGCATTGTTGTGTGACGTGAGTTGGGAAGGGGTTCTGAGGAAGCACTGCTGTTTGAACTGCTGCAGTCTCTCCAGCCTGGCCACACAACAGCCGAGTGGTCAGGACTAGCCTGAGGAACATCATCCAGGTTCTAGAGCAACAAGTACAGTATAAATAAATTAAATAATCCCTGAGACAGAGATAACGGCAATAAAAGTGAATCCTTAAGAAACAGCCTTCATTTGGTAGTATCAGCAAAGAAGCAGTGAACATTATATGCAGCAGCTAGAACAAAACATTGCTCTATAGTGGCTCTTAATGGCATCCTTGTTCTGGGTAGTTATTTGCACTAGAAAGTGCTATGACTCAAACTTACAGATGTCTACCTTTGATGAAGATGACCTGGTGCCTTAAAGCCCTGACAAGCAGCAGATTTGAGGATGGGGACAGACTTATCTGGATTACCATATGACGCCAGTATCTGGGGGCTCATGTTCCCACGGAAATGCCCCAGGGACAGGCACCCAAGATGGCACATGGATGGATGTTTAGAGGCATGTGGGCTGGTGGTTTGTACTATGCCTTCTCCTTCCCTGCCTTTGGGACCGGACATTTGGGTGGTTTTTCTCCCAGCCTTCTTGCAAGAGGTGTGAGGTCTGTCCGGAAAGTATCCAGCCATGCAACCATTCTCATCATGTCAACAATGGCTGGATACTTTCTGGACAGACCTCATAAATGCATAGTCACTACCACCTCATACCAAGTGGTATGTTGTCATCTTTCTCTTTACCAGTGACAGTCAGTGCAGAGTCCCTCTAGTGGATATTGGCTGGTTCCACCTGCCTCGTATTTATTTCCCCATCCTGGTTTTCCTTTGTGAAACCACCCCTCTTCCATTCTTAGTCCACGAAGGTTGGGTCAAATGAACTCCAATTCCATATCTAAGAGAAGATTGATCAGTGTGTTTTATCCCAACCGCAGTGATTGGCTTAGGGATAGATGCGTGAGCTAAGCCTGACCAATCGGGGTCATTGAGCACCAGTCTTGGGATGTTTGCTGGAACTAATACCGGTATAGAAGAGAAGCTCTCAAATTAGTGGTATGTGCCTGTAATCCCAGCTACTTGACAGGCTGAGGCATGAGGATCACTTGAGCCCAGGAGTTTGAGGTTGCAGTGAGCTATGATGATGCCACTGCACTATGGCCTGGGCAACAGACCAAGACCCTGCCTCAAAAAAAAAAAAAAAAAAAAAAAAAAAAAAAAAAAAGAAGAGAGAGAGAGAGAGAGAAACTCTATTTTTACAATGCAATGTAAGGTTGCCAAGTGGAGAGGGCCGACCCAAGACTGACTCGATCACAGAGAAGAGAAGAGAAATTTGCTTCCTGAACCAGCCATGCCTAAAACCAGTCCTCTTCAGTTATAGTATACAAACCATAAAACTCCTTTTTACCTTAAGTTAATTTGAGTTGTGTTTCTGTCCCTTGCAATTAGTCCTGACTAATACAGTCACACCCCCACCCCCCTACCTCTAGCCCCTGTCCACAGGCCAGTAATAACAGACGTTCATGTTTTGGGTACCTCACTCCTGAGAGACTGCATTTGGAGTCTTGGAATAGCATAGAACAATTGGAAGGAGGAACCTGCGA